ACCTTTTGATTTTCAACCTTCTTTTCTTCTTTCTTTTTCCTTTTTTTAATCTTTTTTACTTCTCTTCCGTTTTTTTTCATTTCTTTCTTCTTTCCTGATTTTGTTTCAACTTTCTTTCTTCCTTTTTCTTTCTTTCTTTTTTCTCTCTTCTTTTTTCTTTTCTTTCTTCCTTTCTTTCTTTCTTTTTCTTTCTTTTCTTTCTTTTTCTTTCTTTTTTTTTCTTTCTTTCTTTTCTTTCTTTCTTTCTTTCTTTTTTTTTCTTTTTTTTTTCTTTCTTTCTTTCTTTTCTTTTTTTTCTTTCTTTTCTTTCTTTCTTTCTTTCTTTATTTTCTTTTTTTCTTTCTTTCTTTCTTTCTTTCTACCTTTTTACCTACCTACCTACCTTTTTTCTTCTTCTTTGTTTCTCTCTTTTCTTAATTTCTCGCCATTTTTGATGTTCATTGTTCTTCTTCTTCCCTGATATTTCTTTCTTTTCTTTTCTTTCTTTTTCTTTCTTTTCTTTCTTTCCACCTTTTGATTTTCCTTCTTTCTTTTCTTTCTCTTTTTTACTTCTCTTTTTTTATGTTCTTGTCTTTCTTCTTTTTCTTTCTTTCTTTCTTTCTTTTCTTTCTTTCTTTCTTTCTTTCTTTCTTCTTTTCCTTTCTTTCTTTCTTTCTTTCTTTCTTTCTTTCTTTCTTTCTCTCTTACTTTCTTTCTTTCTTTCTTTCTTTCATTTTCAACGTTCTTGTTTTCTCTCTTTTTTCTCCATTTATCCCCACCTTTTGGTATTCATTGCTCTACTTCTTTTCCTTAATTTTTCTCTCTTTCTTTCATTTGATTTTTGTCTTTCTTCTTCGTTTTTTTTTTTACCTATCTCTTTTTTCCTTCTATAACTTATAAAAACGTTTTCTATTTCTTGAGCGAACAAGATTCCGTCGTAACGACTTGCATCGGAGACTTAAGTTCGGGTCCGTGTATGGAAGCCGATCCAATGAGATTGTCTACTTCATCACTGTATGCATTGCTTTAACTAGACATATAACAACTTGTTCGGAAATTAATATTCGCATTTTTAGAGATTCGATATGTAACCAATAATGGATTAGCAATATACCTCGTCAGCTAAAAGGAAGTTTGTATTATTTTTTAAAAGTTTTTGTACCGTATTGACAAAATAAGAACACGATAGCGAATGGCTGATTTGCATATTCATGCCAATCTCTTCTGATAAATATGCAAATTACTTCAGCTACTTATGCAAATTACGCCACCTAATAAAAACGCTGGAATCGTGCAAACGCGAAGGAAGATTTCAGTTTTTAAGAAAACGTTTCCAGTTGGTTCATAATTCTTTCATTTTCTACGGTTTATCAACCCTTTTCAGGTTATCGACAGCCAGAAAATATTCTTAGATTGTAAGATTTTTTTTAAAGATAATAATGTGTTGTAATCTAATGTGTTGTTATTGAATAGAATAATCAAACGAAGGTTGGTAATGATACGTAGGACACGAACAACGCATATAAGATTCGCCAGCGGCGCGTAGAAGTAGTAGTAAGCTGCTAGAAATGATTCAAGTGAATTCTACAATGAATCTACAACTGCAGGATACCTACCTGCCTAAAACGGGATCGATTAGCTGTTTCCCGAGATGAGCATCTTCCCTTTGACATAGCCTCGTCAATGAATCCTCTCTACCCGGAGGCAGATATTTTGCCCAGCATAACTGGAGACGAATCTCTAACAGCATGATATCTACCAACCGCCCCATATGGTCAGATGTGGCACAAGACCGTATTTAATATGGGGTATCCGACCCCGTAGGCTCGGCCAAAAATTCTCCGTAGACATCGTATAAAACGGGGTCGAGTAGCTGTTACCCCGAGACGAGACTCTGCCCTTCGACATAAACTCCTCTGGGAATCCTCACTGTCCGGAGGCAGACAGTTTGACCAGCACAGCCGTAGACGGATTTCCAACTGCAGGATACCTACCAACTGCCCCACGCGGTCAGATGTGGTACAGGGCTAAATTTAATGTGGGGTATCCGAGCCCGTAGGCTCGGCCAAAAATTACCCATAGACCCCGTATAAAAACGGGGTCGAGTGGCTGTTTCCTGAGACGAGACTCTTCCCTTTCGACATAGCTTTCTCTGGGGATCCCACTGCCCACAGGTAGAGAGTTTGACCAGTACAGCTATAGTCGAATCTCCGACTGCAGACCAACATACAGTATTTACTACTGTATTTATGTGAATATAGACATACCCATTATCGTCTGTAGGTATGTTACAACATAATGATTTCAGTGAAACAGTTCTTAGGAATTGGCCCAAAATCGGGGAGGGGAGAAAAGAGGGGTGATTCATATATTTTCAAAGTGTATTTGCACGTAAGTGAATTTAACAAACCCGACGGGAATTGGAAATGGACTCTTTGATGTCTAATCGAGAGCCGTTATCCATTACATCACTCGCACTTGCAAACTTATTTTTTGGCATCTTCAGGCCATGTATCATCGA